CAGGACAAATGGGAGTGGGAATGAATAATGAAATGGGAATAAGGAAATAGGAATTTAGCAATGGACATTCCACTGGATGGCTCTTCTTGTCTACTGTTTTGAAATGTTGCTTTTTTGAAGCCAGGAAAACTGGAGGAAAACCCTCGGAGCAAGGACGAGAACCGACCATGTTTAACTCAACCCACATGTGAAGCCAGAATCGAACCCATATATGGGTGGGCGGGGAGCGCTCTCATCACTGCACCATCCCTGTTTCTTTAAACTGGAGTGGAAAAATCTCTAGCTATGCAAAAAATTGTACCGAAACTTTGCCATGAACGAGGGTTTCTATGGATGGGGAACTTGTTAAGGTCACTAAATTGTTACTGTCTTTGTTGTTTTCGCAGACGTACTCGCAGCGCTGGTCATTAATACAAGATATCAAGGAGTTTATTTGCGGGGCCTCAAATCTGACGCATACCTTCCGGTTTTGTTTCACTCTAAGATCATTGAAATAGTAAGTAAAGCAAAGAAATTCTAGTTTAAACTAGACTGGAAATACGTGAAGCAATGATCCTAGCAGGTGTACGGCAATTACGGTAGATTTCGATGAAAATAACCCATTCTGTTGTGACAGAGCAATTAGCAATCATACGTCATCTAGTATTTAACTACTCCTTTCTTACTTTGCCTTGGTTGGTTTCGAAACCCGGGCCAAACTCTTAACCAATCAGAATCACCATTAAAACCAATCGTAACAAATCACTCGCGTTTTCCCGCGCTCCAAACAGCTTGAATTCTCATTGTCTCCCCGTAATATTTTCCTCTCCCCTTTTGGCTGTTAGTATCTAGTTTTTATTTTACGATACCCATGGAAATTCTCTCACGGTTTTGAGAACATTAATTATAAAGAATGGACTCATTCCTTATTCATTCCATGTTTTCATGGCATCTGTTCTCGCATACTTCTGTATATCCTATAGTGTAACTATATCCCATAGTCATCTATACGTTGGAGAAAGCAACGTGGACGCAGTTGTTTCTGGTGTAACTATCCCTTGGATGCGACCGGTTTTTAATCTGAGGATTGATCCAAACCAGCTGTCCTCAGGAAGTGATACTGTCAGCTCCCTTTCACTTCCTCCGGGAAACATCACTGGCGAGGCAAGTAATACACCAAAGAAAAGAGGCCCCCGCGAATTCTAACGTACGAGGGAAACTGATAGTGTCTGAAAAAATCCTTTTAAGGGAAATGACCTCAAGGTCACATTTCAGTTGGGATCTTTTTGTTTATTCTCTCAATCCCAGGAGTATCGACTACAAAGAAAGTTTTCCCTTCAACATGCCCCTATTTTTAATAATAATAATATATGTACTGATAGGAACCATGGGATATCATTTGATCAGTTTCATACTCAACTCTAAAGCTTATCGAACCCACTCTAATTTTCTTTAAAATGACCTTTTTTACGAGAGCATATCCATCTTATAAAGCGAAAGTTAAGGTGGAAAGCTTTGATTCAAAGAACACCTCCTGTTTTTTTCCTCTCACTAGATGAATTTCAGTCGCGTCCTTGTTCCTCTTCAACGTTTCAACTGTACTTGGATTGAATATGATGTAAGTCAAATAACTTGAATTATAAATAATAAAGAGTTAGATCGTTGGTGCTGAGGGGGGGAGGGGTAGTATACGATATTCATTCTTTTATGCAGCAAATTAGTGGCCAGTTGTCAATGGTTCAGAAACTTTCCTTGGTTAAATCGGTCAAATTTCTTTTTCAGGTAAATGGCACGTTAAAAATCACAGCCAGGGAAGTTAGAGATGAGGAAAAAGAGAGGAAAGCTATGGCTAAAACTCACCTGGATCTCGTTCTCAGCAGCATTTCTACAGTGGCTGTTATAATTTGCTTAATACTGCTTTCCTGCCTAAGGTGCTCAGTCAGTTTGATACTCAGAAGTGTGACTAGTATGCCCATCAATATGAAGTTTCAGCATCCCTTGGGCACCTTACTGGCATTTGAATGTCGTCCATGGCCGGGGGAGGCGAATTTGAACCTTGCTTGGGATGGGGTGGGGCATCTGAACGGCAAGTGCCAAGTCTTATTAACGCAATACACGTCTTTCAAAGGAGGATTTTAAAGGTAAAGAGCCTGCTTTCGTGAGCTTTTTCGAGCACAAGTTTGGCTCGGGGGGGAGGGGGATTTGAAGACGCTAATCTTCAAAAGTTCAAATGCCCGGAGGGGATATTGAAGCTTCGAATTGATCGATGCATAACACAGTAGTCGGACTGCCTGACTAACGACTTACTGGTGGACTGCCTTACTGGCGGACTGACTGTCCGGACTGACGATTGACGGGCTGAATGACTCAGCCATCAACTATCTGACTAACTAATTGACTGACCGGCTGTCTGGCCGTCTGACTGATTGACCAACTTTCGGACCGAACGACTGACTGACTGACCAACTGACTGACTGACTGATGGACTGACTACCGTCTGACTGGCGGACTGGCTGACTGACTAACTTACCGACTAAAGGACTAACTTGTTCGCTTACTGCCGTACGTACAAACGTGGACTGACTTCCGACTGATAGACCAGTAGTTTATATATATATATATATATGCAGTTATATATATATATATATATATTTATGACCAGCTGAACTTTACTCTGCAACTGAATTACTAACATAAACATCAATTGAAGATGAAGTACCGTCTATAAAGCTAACAGAGTGACCTCTTTTCTAACACAGGATAAGAAACTCCGAGAGAATATTTGTTCATAAAAACCTTTTAATATCCATATGCCTGGTTTACATACTGATGATCTTGGACTCGTATATTTTTACAAACAGGAAGCAGACACCGGTGAGTTTAACTGATCCTGATTCTTATTAGTTCTGATAACACTTTAAAAAAAATCCCGGTATAAGAAATGTACGTAATGGCACGAGCAGGGTCGGGAAAAGTCGCACAGCCCAGCGTATGTCCCCGCGAGATGTGAGGATGAAAATATGTAAGAAGAAAGGAAGAACGAGAAAGACGGCAGTCTTACGCTTAAATCAGTGTATCGACTGGCAAGGTCGGGTCAGACGGGAAAATATTTCGCTCTGTGGGTCATGCGTAAGTTGTCACCATGAGCTAAATATTTCCCGTCCGGCCTTCCCGCTCAGACAATAAGAACACACTGTTTCCTTAATAGCTTGTAGCAAATCTTGCAGGCCGGAGCCCATACTCCTTGATTTATTTGAATTTTTTTCAGCTTGAAAAACCAGAGTAACATGGCTGTTTGATTTTAAGTACCTATACATTCCTTTCTTTTTTTTTTCTTTATGATATTGTAGAAATTATGTTCAGCTATGGCTGTCCTCCAACATATAACACACACCGCTATTTTCACCTGGATGTTGGTTGAAGGAATTCATCTTTACATCAAGCTGGTGAAAGTTTTTTCAGTCCACAAGCTCTACATCACATACATTGTCATCGGGTGGGGTAAGGCTCTGGTGACAGCTTTTATCATCTCTCTCATTCAGTACATGCACTATGATTGTTCAGCCCAACGGATCCTAGCGGTCCATCAATCATTGTACCGCCCTCTAAACTCAAAATGTTGTTTGAATTTAAATCTTCCCCCTCTTTTTAATCCCAGAGTTTTAGTAACTATCTTACTAACCTCGTTTTCTCGGTCTGTACCGTAAGTGATAGAAGCTGTTTCATTTTGTTTTCGCTCCAATCTATAGCCCGTTTTTTTAGCGCTTGGGCCAAAAGTCCGAGTGGAAAGAACTCGGTTCATAACTTGCAGTAAAGACCGTGAGAACGAGGCTACTAAGAGGAATATAACTTAGATGCTATACCTCAGTCTTAC